GTCTGTTAGAAACGCTTACTGGCAGTAATAAAATCACCCACAAACTGACACACAGATATCAAGAGATCACTGGATAAATGTGTTCTAAGTAGAAGTGTATCAATATCTAAACTAAGACCTAGATTATCCAGCTGACCAGCCAGAATTGCTCGAGCTTGATCGTACTTTGGACATTCCAAGAGATAGTATTTTGGATTTTCAACAACCTTTATTGACGGAGACAGAGAAAAACAACTATCGCAGAAATTTTTACAAACAAGTTTATGTTGTTTGAGATGGAAGTTAAGCGCGGAGAAATCCACTCTTAAGTGGCAAAATAGTGCATCAGCTCGACGATGTAATATATATGGTAATTTATTGGTAGGTGGAAGTACAATGTTTTCTAACTCTTTCCGAAATGTCTCAGGCTTTTGTCTAACACTTATTTGCAGATGTGTTGAGATGAGATCAGACCATTTTCTAAGAGCAGTCGGGAAAAACGACAACCGAAAAAGAGAACTTTTATCTGCATAATCATATAGTTTAGGCATCCTGTCTTGTCTTAAGTTGTATTTTGTTTCTTTACCTCTACGTATCTAACATGCTGAGCACTAATTCTAACTAAACCAAAAATAATCTTATAAATCATGCACATTCTGTTAACATAGAATAGCTGAGAGAACGAGAGCCAATGTTGACCCTTGAACAACTTATCTTTAGAAGTACCTCTTATAGCACCACTAACAGTTCAAGCACATCTGATACTAACAATTCTCTAATTTTAGAATATTCTTTTGCGTAGTCAATCAGCTGCCATGGTTAACTAGAGATTGAATAAGAGATTTGTATAAGCATTTAAATACTGAACGATTGAGATTCCATTTGAGAAGTCTCATATAGTTGCGAACGAAAGTTATTTTTCCAATTACGTAGTCAATATGAGAATCCCACGATAGATTTGAGGAGAGAAATAGACCTAGGTGTTTATGAAGAATAACTTCGCGAACGAGTTTGTTCCGAATTAATAACGGTGAATGGTATGAATTTAAAGCTAACGTACGTTTATGAAATAACTGAGCGACACATTTTTCAAAATTTAGAGTTACTTGCCATGTAGAACACTACTGCACTATTTGTTCAAGATCTCTGTTTATTGTGTCAGTTGACTTTTGAAGGGAAGATGAGTAATGAAAAAGACTGGTGTCATCAGCATACAAACTGAAATGAGATTCAAGACCCTCTCCTAGATCATCAATATAAATGAGAAATAAGAGAGGGCCCAGAATTGATCCTTGAGGGACGTGGCAGTTTATTTCTAAAAAATCAGACGAAAAACCATCAACAACTGTTCTTATTTTTGTATTATTTAGATAATTTTCAATCCACTTAACAGCTTGTTCACATACCCCTTTTTGTCTCAGCTCGAAAATTATTCCTCTATCCCACACACTATCGAATGCCCTTGAGAAGTCAAGGAATATAGCTCTTACAAAACCTTGCTCCTCATTTTTTTTTGGGCCGTTTTCCTTGCTAATTCAGGATCCCTTCTTCTCGTTAAGAATCGACCAGAACTACACGAAAGTCGGTTGGCATTCACTTAGCAAATCGCGATTTGTGTGTGTGTGATATACGATTCCTTTGATACGCCCAAAATCGCTGCTATTTTCTTCTGATTCAAGAAATTAACTCTGCGTAGGAAGAATGAATATTATATTTCCAGGCAAAATCGAATATAGCAGAACAAGAAAGAATCGTACATGAGTATCAGAGTGAATTTACTTTTTATTTTTTGTCATATGAATCAACTAAGTGTAATATACATATAATCATTCTGAATTCTATGGAGTGAGAATAAATATAAAGGTAGGGTATAAAAGAGAACTGAAATTGTAAAAGTCGTTCTCTCATATTAAACGAGTATTTGAAAGAGAAAAAGTTCATTTTATAGATTCATTCAGACACGTACATACCGTTTACATCTAACGTAAGTACCAAAAAAATTTTGTTTTAAGGTCGTTGTGCGTATTTTTATAAAAAAATTCAATATACATACGCGAAAGGATTTTAAATTGATTCATACATCAAGACTGATTGTCTCAACATTCGGGCAGTGTGAAAATTACTTTTTATATTAGGTACCATGACTTGCTTAAAAATTTCTATATGCAGACAAAAGACGTTTGCGTAGTGTCTACATATGGAAAAAACAGTAGCGCAATGATCAAAAAACAGGGTGACTACATGGTACTACTGATATTACAAAGTTCTTGAAACATGAAAAACATGCTGTGGAAAATTTGCGCTACGTCGAACTTCTGTACAGTAAACAGTAACTGCAGTTAGTTGAGGGAAGCAGGAGGAGGGTAGTGATTTGATTTGATGTTTATTTTGACAGAAACAGAATACAAGTCTTGTTACATGTCAGCAAAGTAGAAAAAGGGTTTTAAAAACACTTGTAAACCATCCACCAAAGGAACAAGCACCTACAAGCAATCTCTACGTCTCTAGCCATTCTCGAAGTTTCTGTTTAAATTGCCTGAGACTATTGGCAAGGACAACCTCTTCAGATCGTTCCACTCAACTGCAGCCCGAAAGAGGAGGCGACATGAGCCTTACCCAGGTGAAACTCATCTTACAAGATCCTACAAGATCTGCCGTTTTCTTATGAAATCTTGTAACAAGATCTTACTGCATGTTCTTACAAGATCTTGTCTTAGGGTGTTGTAAGATCCTGCGGAATCTTGTAACCTGTCATAAGATCTCACATAATCAGCTCATAAGACGTGACAGATCTTACAAGACCTTGCCATTGAGAGACGTAACTTGTATTTATCTCTTATCGCAAGATCATACGATTTCTTGTTAAAAGATCTTATATGATCTTGCAAGAATCGATGACTCATTCTTATCACATAAATTTTGCTATGATATTGAGTATATATATATATAACATAGTTCTTATGATAAAACTTAGCATTTCTTTCTTTCTTCGTCTTCATACATCAGCTGAGCGCAAATAAGGTGCATGGCTATAAGAACCGTGGTTAAGCACGACCCTAAGGGCGTTTGTGTCCTGCCTATGCCAGAAAATATTATGAATAGAGAAAGATACTTTTTTTAAGAGGAAATTTATAGAACATGATCAGGCACATAATCTTATAAGATCTGATGAATTCTTACGTGATCTTATGAGATCTTGTCATTTCTTGCAAGATCATATGATATCTTATACGATCTTATCAGATTTACAGCTTCATATGTTATGATCTTATAAGACGATATAAGGCCATAGTAAATCTTGATATACGATTGCTCGCCCTGGATAGTAACTGTCTTACAGAGAACGGCTCTAGAATGATTCAATCGCGCCGAGTAACGATGCACCGAAGATTGAATAAAACCGAAGTTTGATAAAGGGGATCTGTCTGAAATGATTTTGTAGAGATGAAGAAGACGAAAAAGTTTTCTGCGCTTAGTCAGATCCGGTAATGTTAATTTTTGCACCAGTTCACTGGCAGTCATCGAATTTTTTTACAGATTAGACGAGTTCCTAATTTAGTGATTTTATCGAGACTTTCTTTATAATAAACACTGTCGTAAACTAGCCAACCATAATTTAACTAACAAGTAAAGGAAGGATACCGATACCAGTATATATCATCGAGAGAAATAAATAGATTGAATGTCTTCTAAATACAAGAAAAGGAAAAAAAAGAAATGTTGATACAAGGACTGGAAAAAGTATTAAATAACTCGTGTCTGTGAAGGCAACAGTACCCGTAACATAAAGTTTTATGGATAATTTATCTATTGTCTGGTTTAGGAATCGACAAAAATGAAATCAATTACAATTGCTGCAGTTTTAATTGCTTGTTTTATGGTCGTCAATTGTAATTTTTTAAGTCGAAAGTAAGTATCCAATGCATATTATTTGAAAGAAATAATTTACTCAGCACATTTCGGTGTTTAGATGTAAATGTAAAGCTGTTTCAAACACCGTTCATTTTCCATTTCACGAATGGGATCAATCATCGTGTAAATTTTGCTCATGTAGTGACCCCGCAATGGTTAATTGTCAAGCTGCCTGCAAACGTATTGTTGAAGATTATAGTAAATCGGGATGTGGTAAAGTAATAAAAGGATCAAAAATCAAACATAAATGGGACGCTGGCAACTGTGGTGAGGGAATTTCAACCGAAGAATATACATGTGCATAAGAGAGAACATTGATTTGATTATCCGGACCATATTTGATTGTTCTATTGTATAGCTCTATGATATTTTTATTTTAATTAAAATAAATTTCATTCATAAACTGGGGGCTTGCATTTTATTTCACTTATGCTGATATCACAGAATAAAATGAGATAGAACAGTAGATATATATCAACATCCCTATTTATAGAATTTCGATAAATCAGCAATTAATATTGTTTCCGCCTACAATACAAGTAAAAGAGTAAGTAGAAAATAGTGCCCTTGGGATAAAACTTTTGATAAAATAATGAATAAGTCACGAAAAAGGAAAATAAATATCGCCTAGACATTTGGCGCCTTTCAGTCCAGTCAGACGAGCGATATTCCGTTCGGAATATACCCTCTATCCCTAACGGGATATCGCAGAAAATTTATATCCTACTAGGAATATTTTTGCAAAACAGTTTGGAAAAAATTATTATCGCAAAAATCGTGACGTTACTGTAGAAAAGTGACTCTAGCATAAAAAAGCGGATGAAAAATTGACTCGGAATCCAAGTTGCTTTCTTCAAGTCTTGATTCAAAAGTCTATCGTTCACGATTTTTCAAATTCCACTCGGGATATATAAAAATGCCTGATCGGGATATTAGCCCGTTCGGTACAGGTACATAAATAGTTCGATGTTTTGTTGAGTAGCTTATAAAGGAGTACAGTTCGTAGTAATCTACTCCCTCCACCGGCTTCATTCCTGTTCAATATTATGGATAATAAATACGAAAAAACAACCGAAAGAAGTTACGATAACATATTTTTCAGTGTATTTTGAACTACATGAACCGACGAGATATGTTTTTTCCTGCGCTAAAATGCCAAAACGGTGCCGTAATCACAGCAAATGTGGTCATAGTTTACACTCAAAGTGGCATGTTGATTTAGTAATCAATGTTTCTCGCCGACGCTATTTACTTTAAGCACGTTTTGTCCAATCCTGCTTATATTCAATAGACACTTTTTCAGTATGACGTTGACGATTCGGCGCCATTTTCTTTTTAAATAAACTGTGTATAAAGTATCAATGTTTAAAGTATTGAATATCGGTGTGTGTGAAATATATAGGTTATACGCTTAATGTCTCTTTTTCTATTCTTAACCGAGGCCTCGATAGTCAGCATCTCGTTTTTTATTTTTTTTAAAAACGGAATCAGACGTCAGCGTGTGTCACTCTATCGCTTTTAGTTCACAGAACGAAAGGAAAGATAATAACATGGGAAAGAACATATCCGAAAACCTATAAAAAAAGTGTTCATTGACTTCGGAAGGCTTCTAAAGCAAATGTTCACCTGGCCTCTGAAAAAATGCACACAGTGCTTCCCCACTCAGAAAAGTTGATTTTTTGACAAAAAAAATCAGTTTTGAGATAAGCTCATGGGAAGATAGCCTGAAGTGTCTACTTCCAGAATCTGTATTGCTTTCAGTCCCAGGAGTTGTTTTTCGTGGTTTTCGAGCGAGTTTTCCAGAAGTCTCGGAAAATGGGGTCGTCAAAAAATAGTTTTTACCTGACTACATATCTAATTGAACTTCTTTCTGAATAGATAGCTTTGTAGAGAAGACTTTTCTGGTCAAAGTAAGGCGTCACACAACCCTGTACGAAGTTGTGTCAAAAAGTTACAAGCATTTTTCCAGAAGTCCTAAAGTAGATCAACCGATGCCCAGCGTTTTCCAAGGGGGAAATAGCGGACTCCTGGAGTCCACAGGAGTCCATAGAAGTCCAAGTTCTTGGGAGACTGTTGTCTAATATTTGGATTGCGCTAATTCTTATTTGTACCATAAAAATGAGAGCTGACAATGTATAGCACACTATTTATTTGTACATAAAAACAGAAAACAGGAAAACAAGATGAAGTGTTTTTATTCTTTTTTGCTCGCTTCAATTACTCGTGATAATCTATCGGTTGATATACGATTATTTTGTCTGGTAACAGCCAGATTGCTGACTGTTTATGTAAATATTTATCAGTGTTATTAATTTTATTTTAAAAGACGAATTTTTTAATTCAGTGGTAATCTTGTTCCATTGACTGTAAGTCTATGGTCATACAAAAAAAATTGGGTATACGAAAAAGCAAAAGTGTTCGTGTGTCCGTACACGGGTGTGACGGACGTACATACATATAGTCATGTGGCAGTGTGACGGACGTACATACATATAGTGACCATTACCAGATTTAACAACGCTCTCATATACAAGGGTCATCTGGACGTTATTGTTAACTAGTATTATTTATCGTGAAAAACCATCAATTGCTATTCATAAGGACCTTCGCATTTCAGCGATTAACACTATGAAAACATTTTACAAGTGCATCGAAACTCTCTAACTAGGGAACCTCTCGAGGTGATTAAAAGCTTTTCGACTCAGACTATTTTCATAATGTAGGGAATAATCAGCCGTTGGTTTGGGCCCATGCGTCTTTTTGACGGAGATATGAGTTAATTAATGAAAATGCCATTAATAATAATTGATTAATAGCTTACGACCATGATCAGCTAGGAGTTGGAAATTTTCATCACAGTTGAAGATAGATGTTGTCTACTCA